TTTTTTTTTACCACAGTTAAAAACACACGTATATCCATGTTTGCTCTCATTCAGAACCAAACATTTTAAGCTCTCAGTAAAATGGCTGTAACTCATTTTATCTTTACGTTTTTGCCTTCGAACGACCCGGCGTCACCAGAACATGACAGAACCTCCAAACGGCTTCATGTGAAAATCTGACGCCTTTGGAAAGCTTCAACAGAGGCTGAGCAGTTTGCCCTGACACATTGAGTTTTATGTGGCTTGTTAATTAACAGAACCTCCACCAAAGCATCAGCGAGGACCATTGAAAATATAATTTCCAGGCTGCATTCAAAGGACAAATATCTCAAGTATCTCAGGAGCATTCAACCAAGAGTTCAGCTGGATCACTATTTGTATGTTGTTGTTTTCGTCTATTCATTATCAGAGCTGCCTTAAAAGTAAATTCTCCTTTTTGATCTAAATGAATTTTTAACTCCTGTGGTTGGCTCAAGGCTCAGGATCAATTCAGGCAGTTTTCAAGTTGGATCAACTCTGACAGACACACTGGTCTTCAGGATTTATATTGGCATACTGTGTTTGAAGCTTTTCAAAAAGCAAATATAAACATTGTCAGGCCTTTGAAAGCACACCTCTGAGCCATCATCCTGAAGAGCTCTTCATCTGGTCACCATTTTGATTTTTTTTCTTAAGGGTACCATTGATCTTAGCAGGAAAGTGAAACCAGCTCCAAACTATCTGCTTATAATTTACAAGATTTTATTACACACATTTTTATCAGAGATTTATGTCAGAAGTACCAGCAGCACGCAGATTCAATGCGGTCAAAAAATCTAGAAAAAAAAAATTACAAACGCCACCTGCATTTTGGCACCGAGTAACCAACCAAAATGTGTCCAGTGCTGAAATCTGAAAAACTAAGATCAAGTGCATGTTTTATTTTCTGTTAATGAGCAGGAATCTGTAGGAGGTGTAGCAATCCCACCATCAACACCATGACAGCAGAATATATAACGTGGTTAAGAGAAGCAGAGTTTATACATCCGTTTTTGATATGCAGTTTGTCCCGTCAGTCGGCTCAGTAATCTGCATAAATTAGGACAGAACAATAATGGCACAAAGCTGGAACATGAGAGGTTATATTAGCTCATTGTTTCCAATCTCTTTTTGTTTTGTTTTATGATCCCAGGCCTCATTGTGAAACTTGGTCTGCTCACCACTTACAGCTGCATGGTTGCAGTTCTTCGCTGAATTCAGGACTGTTTTGCTAAGAGACTCTTTGTAACTCATGTTATAGCAGCATTTAAGAGCTTTCACAAACATTTAATTTTTCAAGAAAAAGCAGACATTTTTGATGAGATACGAACATTCGTTTGCATTGGTAAGACGTGTGAGTTTGTGTGAATAAAGCGTCTGCCTGTGCTACCATCTGCAGAAACTCAGAATGCCACAAAGTAAGAGAGTAACTCGTCTTGAAAAGATGCTCAGAGTGATGAACTGATTTAGCTTTAAAGTTCCTGTTTTCCAACAGCAGCCTTAGGGGGAAAAAAAATCTGCTTTAGCTCCAGCTCTAGTCCAAAGCTCCCAGCTTCGGTGCAGATAACCTCTAAAGACGCCAGAGAAACGCTGGAGCCGGCACTCGGAGGTAATCAGGTAGCTCACACTCAAAGGAACATCTGCTCTGGCTTCATCTCTGAAGCTCAGTGGTTTTGTCCAGCGTTTTTTTATATATATATGCAGCCTTTGAAGCAGAAGCTAATGCCCACGTTCAAAACGCCCCAATTCTTTATTTTTATATCACGCTCTGGTTTTTTTCAGAGCCCTTTTCATGCTGCGTGTTCCTGACACCGCTGTCTCTGTTATGTTTTTCTCAGTTTGGTTGAACAGCAGTTGGTTGTAAAGATGTAACAGACTAGAGGTGGGCTTTATAAACGCTTCAGCTTGTTAAATGGCCGCAGCAGCTTGTAAAAAAAAAAAAGGCTACATGAAATAGTCTAAGAGGTTATAGTTGTTTCCCTTTGGTTTTACCGCACAGGTTTGTGTTTTTTTTTTTTTTTACTGTCAGAGTAAATGTTTAAGAAAATCGAAGCTACAGGTATATTTGGTGCTAGGAGCTGCACAGGCTCCACTTGTTCTGGTGCCAGTTTCAGGTATTGGCGGGCCCAGTGCCGTCTCAACTTGAGTAGTGAACCATTTGGTGTTTCTAATCCTGGTTAAGCTCTCAGTTTGAAGTAAATGCAGTGTGCTAGAGTACTGCTTCTTTTTAAATGATTGTCAAACGTCTCAACAAAAAAAAAAAAAAGGGGGGGGAAAAAGACACTATATTTTATCATGTTATGTAAGAGCAGTTAATGGGTAAATGTGTATTACTCCATATATGTACACGCTGTGGTTTCTGCTTTAAAAGTGTTTGTTTGATCCCGTCGAAGCTGCAGCGGTACCTTCGAATGTTTCTGCACTTCTTCGTCTTTAACATAGAAAGTTTAAACAACGTCCGAAGGACATCTCTGTACCTCCGCCTTCACGTGGCTGATGGTTTCTCTAAACGGATGAACGTTTCCTCTGAAAGGAAAATCATTTTCAGTGAAAGCAGTGCTCCTTTTTTCATGTTCAACAGGCCTTGTAAAATAAACAAACGAAACGTCTCCTTTTATAAAACCGTCCTGTGTGTTGCGAGTTGTTTTTTTGTTTTTTTTCCATTTCTGACGCCTCAGGTGAAGCGGTGCCGTGGAGAATACGAATTATGGAGAAAATGTGATTTTACCCTCTACGTGCTCTTATCAGTCAACTGTACTCAAACCCATGGAGCGTATTTACACCCTGCATAAGAGTTCAATAAATATTTTAATGCTATTTTTTTTTTTTTAAAGCAAAGGGGGAAAAAATGCAAACATGTTATCTTCAAGAAAGAATCTCCTCTTTGCCTCCTTTTTTCTCATTGGCAGAGAGAAAGCCTCCTCCTGAAACTTCAGGAGAGTTGGGTTCAGAAAGATGCAGAAGTTTCTGTCAGTGCGTCCAGTACCGGTTAGTGCCAAAGGAATAAACTTTGACCTAGATTTTTTTTCCAAATTATGCAAAAAGCGACTTGGAATTGCACGTTCCCCAAGAATGCCCTGGACAAGGCGACGCCGCCTCATCGTGACCCTCAGAAGGTCAAAACCTTTTCCTGTTCCATCCTTGGTGCTGCGACTCACTTTGTTTTAATGTTCCTTTGTTTTCTTTACCAAATCTCTCTCAAGTTACCAATGAGTCCCTTTAAACTTCAGGCAGCAGTGAAATGTTTAATAAACATTTATCCTTTAATCAGTTTAGTTCATTTCAAATTCAGCAGTGCAGAATTAGTGTCAGTCTATTGTTTTAATCATGTTTAAGTTGCGTTTCACGTTATTAACTTGTTATGAAATAAACGGGAGATCATCCATCCTCCCGTTTATCGTCTCCCTCTCATCTGACTCCTGGTGTTGTGGTGTTTTCTATGTTTTGGGGTGAAATATATTTTAAGAGCTGGTTTATTAATTAGTGCATCCTCTGCATGTAATTCACAAAGCCGAGTTGCAAATAGTAAAATTTTACTCCGGGCTTTGTTTGTTCCCCTCATTTTGGTTCTTATTCATATAGTTGCTTTCGATTTGTATGAACTCTTTTCTGTGACACCTGTTCCACCCCATCGTCCACCTCGCCATCATCTTCAACCAATTAATATTAAGTACACTTGATTATGTGCAAGTAATCTGATTGATAGAATAAGTTTTAACAAGAATTCACTTGGTCCCCTTTGCTTCATTAGTTGACGTATGGAAACTTTTTTTCACATGGAGAATTAATTCTTCAGGCATAATTTCAGACACATTTTGAAAACCTGATTATTGATAAATAGCAACGTATCTCAGCATCGATCCACACTTCACTTTTCTGTCTGCTGTCTAGCAACAAAACATGTGTGTGTGGTAAACGTAAGGGTTTATTTTCAACGTCTTTCATACTGTGCAACAAAGCTGATTTAAAAAGAAAAGGTCAAGAAGCTTAGCTTTTATTTACAAAAGTGTTCACAATATGGAAAAAGCTGACTCCAAAGCTGAAACAATCTCCTAATTAAGAGGTGCTGAATGATTCTTTCCTATAGATTGTGTTTATACTAAGGTAAAGAGAGTTTTAACATTAACAAACCTCTAAAGCGATAGGGTTAGGGTAATAATCTTCTCTTATGAAGCCTCTAAGCAGCACTAAGGCAAGCTGGTGTTTGCAGTTTATCTTGTGTCACAGAGGGAATGCCACAGGGGAAAGGCGACGTTTCTGCTGATGCTGTAAAATATTTTTCTGTTCATTATTTGTTTTCTCTGCAGTTTGTGAGATATTAAAGAGGATTATAGAGGCTCTTAGATGACATTATCACCTACTAAAAACTGCTGGGTTTTAATGTGGAAGCTATATAGATAATGGTTCACCATTTCCCATAGTGGATAACTTCAAAGTGCTCTCTCAACATTTTTGTGCAACTTTCTAATGGTATTTGAAGCAGACACGATGCCATAAGCTGGTCATGACTGGAGTCAAAACAACAATCAGAAGAATTCAAAGAACCACCTGTAGGGAGATTTATGAAGATCTCTCTCAATAAAACTGAGAGTTGTGTCCTCAGCTGCTGTGAACTCCCTACAAACAACCCAGAACTCCACCGATGAGGAGAAATCTTGCCAAAGCTTTTGAGGTTCCAGGAGAACAAGCGGACAACGCAAGGTAATTTTACTTATATAGCACATTTTCAGCAACAAGGCAGTTCAAAGTGGACAACATTTTGGTCTACTTGGACCAAGAGTGAGAAAAGTGGACCGCTCACCACCAGAAGAAAATCACAAACAGGAAAGTGCAGAGGTGGGAACATCGTCTGATGTTTGGCTTATGCCAGTGGGGGACTTCATGTAATCAAAGAAAAGATGAGTGGAAACTATTCCTATTTTCATTTGTATTTATTTCACATAGGTGCATTAGAAATCTATTTATGAAGAAAAACATTAATACCACCAAAAAGTGCATTTATTAGTGAACACTGGCACTAAATACAAGTAACAAGAAGATCAACACATACAAGAGTAGTTTGATGTAACTCCAAATATCAAACTCTGATTTTGATCAATTTTAAAATAAAAGCAGATCATTTTTTTCTCCAAATCTATACTACTTGAACAGTTTTATTAATCCCTTGTCTGTCTTTTTTCTGATCTGAAACAAATCTGTTGAGTGAATCTACAAATGAGTCTTGATGTATTAATATTGTTTTATTACATATTTTTTTCTACACAGACTGAGTTTAGCTAAATAAATACAAGTCATGAACACAAATGTGTTGAAAGCATATCAAGAAAAATGTTATTTTCAAATTATAAATTTAATGGTAAGTTTACAAATGTCCAACCCCAGAGGAACATTAAAAGATAGTTTGTTAGAATACAGATTTCAAAACAAAATGTAAGCATGTCAATTTAGATTAGCACAATAATATTATGAAGTATTCTACAGCATGCAGTGCTGATTCATGAAGAAAGTACTCAAGTGTTAAGGTAAATAATATCTTTTGATTTGATCAAGGGCCTCTGTCTGAAGCACTGAAGAGTTAGGATTTCCACAAAGTTGAAAAAAAATCAAGATTGTTGTGTCTCCAGTTCAATTTAAACCACTTTCATTTGATGATTGACTTTTTTTGTTTACCTGAAATCATCAATAATCGACTGGTGGCAGTGTCACCATTTGAGTAAACGCTTCATAGTTAATAACACCGTTTGACTTGACGTTTGCTTCTTTGAAGAGGTCGTCCACTGAAGGAAGAAAAGAGAAAAGAAACAACAGATTTAAATATGATTTTAGACCAAGAAGGCTTTCAAAGCTACGCCAAGTATTTCAGTCATTTAAGGCTTTTTAGGTTTTTGTTTGTTTGTATTTTACGGTTCGTTGTGTTACCAGCAAAGTTGAAGTTTGAATCCATGTTAAAACAGACAGAAAAAAAAAATAGGAATGTATTTTCTAAAATTCTCAATTATTTCTCTAGTTCTGCTCGTATAGACTTCAAGTCTCATAAAATAATTGCTTTTGCAGAAATTAACCAGTAGGGACGCAGCAATGTAGCAATTCTCATGATGTTTTTTTTTTTTTTAACAAAAATGAACCCACTGCCTTTTACGTGCTCTGTGCCCAAATTTTTGAATAAAGCAGCAGGATAAGTATTAGATTTACTGCTGTGTGCCAGACATGAATCTGACTAGTAGCTCACTGTGCTCTGTCCCTTAGAAACTGGGATTAAATTGTACAATTTTAGGTAATTTGTGTAAAGTGTTTAATCTGAATATTACACAAGATGAATGAATGTTATTTTTGCATGTATAATGTTCCAGGAGATAATCTGCACCAGGATGATCAAAAGAGACCAAGGAGTGATTAAGCATGCCACACACACACAGACGCAAAAAAAAAAGAAAAAAAAAAAGACAAGTCTTTCTAATCTGGCTTTTTATAAAGCCTTACAACCTCTGCAAATATGTCCAGAATCCTTAAATAGCTGCATTATAGCAGTACAGGAACCCGGGTCCCTTTTTGTAATTTTTTTTTTTTTTTTTTTTTTTTTTGTCAAAGTCCAAAGCTCTGTTGTCTGCTCTTTTAGTGTAGGGGGCATTAATATTCAGCAGTTCAGAGATCCACTAACTTGATGGTTGTTTTCCCGCTGAGACTGAGTCAGGCTTTTTAACTATGAGCTGCTTAATGTGCATGGCACCCACCCAGTGACACCCACCCAGTGACAGTGCTTAGAGTTACATGAAGCCTGCAACTGTTTGAATAAGAGGGCTTTGAAAGGCTCCAAACACCTCTGGAGATTTACCCAGACGTTACCATCCCCTCTGTGTGTGTCGTCCCATCAAACCTCGCAGCTTGGGATTCATAGTTGTTGCCATCAGAAACGACACAAGAGATATTCTACTGTGTCTGTAAAAAAGATTTAGGGAAATATTTAAATAACGGCTTGGCAGTTTGGGGAATGCATTACACATTTTTATTTTAAGTACAAGAATAATGTTACTTAGGGTATGAATAGTGGAATAGTTTTTTTTTTTTTTTTTTAATAACTGTTATGGAAACAAACTGAACTGACTTCTTTAATTAGTACTAAAGGCAAAATAACAAAAATAAAGAACCGTTTTGCTTTTAACCAGCTGGATTTGTGGTAATGAAAGCTGACAAAGTGGCATCCTGCAAATGTCCTTTTAATGTGATCTGGAGAGAAGGCTCCTAATAAAATGTAAGGAAGGACCGGTCTTCCAACGAAATGAACCGATGAAAAGGTTTGAATTGAAACCTTTTCATTTAAAAAAAAAAATGAAATTGTCGTTAATTTTTTTTAGCAATGACAATAAACACATCCATGTCCATACCAACTAAGGTAGAACGGAATAAAAACATCCTTTACTCTCCTGCAAAGGACAATAAATAAATGTCTTTCTATTTCGCCAAATGTGGGGAAATTCAGGTGTAAAAGTTCACACCAAAAAGTTCTTAGTGTTAAAGGCAATATATAAAAAACAAAAAATTTACAAAACGTGCTTTTTTTATTTAAGCACCACCGATTTCTCGTACCCTCTGAGGTTCTGCAGAAATATATGGGTGTTGAACATTTCTCAATATAACTGCTACAATAAACTGTTCTTTTTCTAACCTCCTGCAGACGCGACCTGCGTTGCAGCACCGAGTCAAGATTCAACATGATCGACAAGAACCAACGTGTAAAATCAGCATTTTCAGTTTTAGTTATTTTTCTTGCTGTTATAATATGATAAAAGTACTTTTGTTGGTGCCTTCTGTACAGATGGCGTATCCATCAGGAAACGCCAAGATGGCATGATGAGCGCAGCCCCTCAAATTGTGATGGAACTGCAGTTAAAAAAAATAATAATTTGTTGATAGAAAAAACTCCTTTTTTAGACACTGAGGTTGTTTGGGCAGATGGGGAAAGAACATTTCCATACTTTAATGGAGGCGAACAGCTTGTGAGTTGTCAGGGAGTCACAGAGCTGAAGTCAAAAGCCAAACTCATTCTGATTGTTTTTTTATATATATCATTACAAAACATGATGAAGATACAATAAATGTATCCAGAAATTTGGTGAATTGTCAATTTAGATAAGAGCAGGAGTCTGGACAAAAGTTAATACTTTTACTACTGATATTTTTTTTGTCTTATCTAAAGTCATGTAAGAAAATGTAAGAGCACACACCATTTTATCAGTCCTTTGACTCTGGCATCTCTGGCAGGATACAACAGCTTTAAAGAGATGTGCGCTTTTCACTCTTAGCTGAACAAAATGTTCAAAAAATACCAACCACTTAAAACAATATTGTTAAATTACCTTAAACGTAGTCAGTTTTATTGCAACACGCAGCTAGAGTACTACAGTGACATGTGAAATCAGCATGTTATTGTTGCTAATCAAAGGATTTTGGTCAAATTAACTCAATATGAGTCAGTTTGCTAGAACAATTTACCTTCTTTGTTTGTGAGTTTCTCTCCTAAGGTGGTCAGCTTGGCCCGCAGCTCGGCTGCCTGGATCTGTCCTTTCTTCTGCTTGTCCGTCATCCTAAAGGCCTCCAGGATTTCATTCTTTGGGTCTTCCTGCTGCATCTGCCTGTGCATCATGATCAGGAAGGTAGAGAAGTCTACCTCGCCTGTCTTTCCTAAACAGACATTATGTTCATTCACCACATGCAGTCAAAACATGAGTGTTACAAAGCGACGTGCGTGTGTGTGTCTGTACATTCTTCTTATTTCGGCATATTTTTAAACCACCTGTAGCTCCTAGGAGCCAAACGTTCTTGCATCTGTTTCATGTGGTTTTGATCAATATCTCAGGATTTGCACAGGTCTTTTTAAATGTGTCAAAAGAATGAGAAAAACACTCCGACACTCCGAAGGCTCCGCCTTAAAAGCACCTTCTGAAAGAGAAGCACATTACCTGAAAGCTATATAGTTACGGATAAAAATAAAAAATAAAAAAGAAAGAAAGCAGAGCCTGAGAAATGTCAAGCTTCCAGCTTGTCTCTCATTGTTGGTTATAAAATCCTGTTTTCTGATTGTCAAATTGGGGTATCTGTTATTTTTCACAGATTCAGCAAAATCTTTAGGCTCCGGCTGCTGGAAGCAAAGTGCCTTAAGGCCTTATTTCAGTAACTTACTGAAATAGTCTGGTTCAGGACTTAAAATTGCATGGAAAAAAAACAACTAATGAAACCCTGGAGAACCGATAACGACAACATTTGTATATTCTCAGAAAGTGTGAGTAACAGGAAGCAAAAAGTGAATAAGAACTTTCGAATCATGTTTAAGAGAAGGTTAAACCAAAGCGACTGTCCTGAGTGGAGAACCTGAAGGGTTAACAGTTAAACATTACATTTCAATCTTTATTCTCAGTGTACGTACCGATTTTGTGGACAAGAAGATGCCTTTCTATTTCACCAGGCGTGGGGCTTGTTCCCAGGCAGCGCATAACTGTTATCAGGTCTTTTGACTCGATTTTACTCTTCTGCTTTTTGTCGTACAAGGCGAAGCATTCTTTGAACTCTGCAAAGAGAAAACGGTACAAATGTTACTACGTGTTCCTAAATAAAGCAAAGAAGCTGGTCGAGACTGATTTGAGTAAAGATGTTTAGCTGATTTTTTTAATTTGATCCTTAAGTATCAAGAAACGGTTAAGTGATTGTATAAGGAAGTGCGAAGGAAAACAAAACACAAACAGCTCTTACCGCTAATTTGAGCTGGTGTGAAGAATTTAGCCTGCAGAGCAACAAGAGCTTCGTGTTAGTTGTCATGTAAACGAGACTGATTCATGTTAAAATATACAAGAAGCCTTTAGGGAGATTCTTTCTTTCTCTTACCATTTCTAAAGCTGCTGCGCTTCCTTCCTGGAAGAAGAGTGTGCTCTGTTACCAGCGTCACCTGTGCCTCCACCTGTCTAAAGTCCAGCTGCAATGGACTGTAGTGCAATTTAATACGTGTTGCTATGGAAACGCTGATACCAGATCCAACAGGCCGCACTGGCCCTTTCCTTACCACTCCCACATAAAGAAAAAGTCAGCAGTAGCACAGAATCACCAAATACTTCAACATGAAAGGATGACTATGTGGGGAAAACAAAGGCTTATATGCTTAAGGCCCATTCAAATCAAATCAAGGTAAATTACTCATAGCCCCAGATGAGAAGCTGAAGGCTTGTTTGTCTCCAACTATTATCCCAGCAGTTTGTGCACCCTGCTGCTTGCTATAGGCTCCAAACCCCTGCAGCCGTGCAGCAGGTGGAATGAGAGAAACTAGGCCAACAGAGTGGGATTAGTGACAGAATGCACTGATGAGAAACACTTCCCGTCTCCTAGCCGAAGCTTGAAATATGCCAAAATTGCAAAATGAAGGGGAAAGGGGGCTTTGTTTAAAGCAAAAAGAAAAAAAAAAAAAAAATGCCTCATTTTCTTTTATTGTTGTTTAGCTATAATATTAGCTTGCTGCAAAAAACAATGTCTCACCAACTTTTTTTTAGGGCAAATATCTTAGTATTCCTGAAATAAGACAAAACCAACTTACCAGTATCTTTTCAGAAAGACATAGAAGCTTTTTTTAAAGTCACTAAGTGTTTAATACTGATGGAAAAAGAACTTGCTCCATTGGCAGATTATTTCACTTACAAGACATTTTTCCCACGTTTTAAGTGAAAATATCTGCCGATGAAACAAGTACTTTTTCCATCAATATTAAGGACTTATTGACTTTTAAAAATGCTTCTATATCTTGCTGAAAAGTTACTTTCAAGTTAAGTCCGTCTCATTTCAAGAATACTAAGATATGTCGCATTCTGCAGTGCATCATCTCTGAGAAACATCCAGATGCTGAATGTTACTAAATCCCTTCCGCCGACATCTGGTGCATCGAGTGAAAACAGAGCAGTGGAGGATATGAGAGCGCCACGTTAACGTACGCAGCTTCCCAGTCAAACGCCAAGCACGGCGACTCCCCTCTGTGTTAACGCATTGTAAATGTTTGACCTAAAACAGATGGTGTGGAGGAAAGAGCCTCTTTGACTCTTATTTTTAGGTTTTGCAGCAAAAACAATACAAAGCATGCATATTATTTTCCTTAAATGTGTCAGGAATCACTTTTGTTTCCACATTTGTAAGCCACAGAGAAGCAACCGTGTTTCCTCTGAGACGCTGAAAGATTTATATCGACTGGTTTAGTAAGAGAATAATAGGATCCTTTGAGGTGAGACTTTGTTTGTCTCACACTCTGGTTAATGCGACTGTTTTTCTGCAACATTTCAACATGTGCAAGATTTAGCATCCGAATACATTTGCTTGAAAATATGAGTCGATGTATTGTTCTCATGATGGTATGCATCATCAAAAAATGTCAGTAGCACATTAAAACATACGGTAGGCTTCAGGTCCGGATGAGACCAACTGGGATAATGAGCAACACAGATTAACGAGGAACGGGAACATACTCCTTTTTCTTTAGTGGGTAAATACTCTTTAACTTTAATAGACAACAATCCTCAAAACATTTAAAAATGCAAAAATCTTTAAAAAAAAAAAAAAGAACATTTTCTCCACACAAGTGTTTTTCTCGTATCCTAAAAATACCACAAAAAAGCCGGTGCTCAGCAGGTTTTTGGGGATTGCCTGAATACTGTCTGGGTTATAGGTTTCACCTGCGCTTCAGAAATAATCGGTCACATCATAAAAACACCGATGGCTCTTATATTTAGACTTTGAACGTTCGATTCAGTGGCTCTCCCTTATGTGTAAGGTGTAGTAGGACCAGGGCTCTGGAACATAAAACAGTCCGGGGTATTTGTTGCGTAGCACCGGGTCGTCCCACAAATAGGCCACCCACAGGAACACGAGCAGCAGAGTAACGCTGAAGCTATAAAAGAGAAAGGAGCTGTTGCTGTCCGGGGCGAGACCTTTACGCTGCTGGAAAATCCTCACTGTGAACATGGCGAGGAAAGCAAGGAGGAACAGTCCAGTTATCTGACCCTCGGTGGCCAAGTACCTTTGGGACGAAAAAGAGAAAAACAGCAGGAGTTATTTTTGTTTCAGGCTATCAAATGGCTACATTTAATAAGTTAAATATAATTTGCAACAGCTAATAATTACAGGTACAGTCGTCATTAAACCAAAACAGATTTGGTGAACATGCACTCAAGAAAAAAGGGAGTTTAAATTGGATCCACTGGAAGGCTGCGGATTATTAGAAAAACAGACAATATTTTCTGCTTTGTGTTTATCG